TGGAAAATGACCGTGCAGTGCAGGGGAGAGGGGGTGTGCACTTATCTCTAATTACCAAGCTTGGGAATGAGTGAGAGCGTGCACTTAGAGGGGGTTGACTGTACAATTTAGTGAATGCCTTTAAAATTTGTTTTGAAAGAAGCCCACCACTTTTTTCAGATATATATTTCATCATACTAATATGCAATGTTGTGCAATTGGAACATTGTAATGCTATTGGAATGTTCCGATGTGGCACCAATATGGTTTCAATGTAGATTGACCAATAAAATTTGTGTATGTGACACTCTAATTGATTTTCATTGGTTAACTTCATTGGAACTACATTTGGAACGTTCCAATTCCAATTAGAATTGTTGGAATGCTCCAATGAAAATTTATTGGAACCATAAATGGCACAACACTGCTAATATGCATATCTCTTAGACACAGTTGGACCTTCAATGTATTATCTAAAACTTTTTTGTCATTTTCAATTTTAGGTCCAGCTTGTTCACAAACTGAGAATTCTCTACCCCAAGCTAGATGATGACCTAAATCATGCCTCTGTAGAATTTTGTCAGTAAAAAATCCAAAGATTTTAGAATCAATAACACAAGGTTAGATGAATGAATTTACATACTGTGAACATCCAATCTAGATGATAACCTTTAACATTTTCAGGAGCATCAATTGCACTAATATGTCTTTCTCTTGAGGAACATGACACCATATCACCACTTTTTTGAGAAATTACAAATATTGTTAATCATTATGAGTAACTTTAAAAAATTAAATAATAAAATAATAACAATATTTACTAATGCAAATCCATTATGTCTGATAAGCATGAAAAAATAAAATAAAATAGAATGATAAATGATGACTAATTGACAATTGAATGTCAAAAATGTGTCATTGATAATGTCATGATTAAATGATACCTGATGAAATGTTTTTGTCATAATTGATTAAAAATAAAATTTATATTCATTGAAATGTCAGATGGTAGTCAGCTTCAATTTGTAACAAGTGTTGATGATAATTTGTCTTCCTTGAAAATATTATTAAACAGAAAATATGGCAATGTGACTCTGGACACATTTGTGTTGCACAAATTCTATTCAATTCATTAATGGCATAGAAGACTTTGATGAACCTTTCTTTGAAATCAATACAGCTTTAAAGGACAGGTCTCTGGATTATTTTTGCAGGAAAATCAAATAATTAGCTGAAATTAATAAAATGTTTGTTAGTCCTTAAAGATTACTTTGATCACTCCTACACAAAATATTGAATAATTGATAAAATGTTTGTTAATATATTTTGCAAGTTTCATAGATCTTGACCTTAACACTTTGAACTCCTACACAAACCGGATCTTAATCTTTATTATCATCCTCAAAAAATGATGTTTGTTGTCATCATTTGCTGTTTATTGCTAATAGTATTATTGTTTAATGTTGCTAAAACAACTATTGATTGATGGATATTCATAATAATCATTAATGAAACTTTAATCAATATAAAGTCAGAAATATAAACAATCACTAATAAAATACATTTTAGTTTTTGCTGAATCCCATTTACATAAAATTCATATTAAATTTCTATAAAATAGTTTTTTGTGAACCTCTCTAAAACTTATTAACCAATACCCCCATAAAGTAATGACCATATGAAAGCTTAAAATATTCTACACTTCTCATTTATTATCAAGTCTTTTAAAGTGATATTGAGAAATAATCTGAGCTTTGAAGTGAAAAAGTAATACCGTTTTGAATAGCTGTGAATTCATGTAGAAAAGACCTTTCAATATGAAGGAGTATTCACTAGAAAGCTATAATGGAGTATTTTCATTTTACTCTAACAACAAAGTTCGAGTTTATTATAAAAATAACGAGATATTTTAACAAAACTTCATGTGACACGAATTTCGAATTTATTTTCACATATTAATATAGAAAAGCAGCCTCAGGGATATGTCACACGACTACTAGTCTTGACGGGAGGCAGGTAACGTTTCCGCTAGTACTATATGCGGTTTGTGTTGCCGGTACAAAGCTTACATTTTACAAAGTCAATTACGGACAAGAATTACCTCCGTGAAAGCTCAACAAAGGCTTCAGATAGAATCCAGAATGATAGTACAAAATTTTCCGCCTGTAGAAAAACGAATATGCTTGACCGCTGATAGTCGACTAAACTTTTTTTTGAAACAACTAATAGTCGATTATTTAGTCGACTACTAATACTACTAATACTAATACCATACTAATACTAATAATATACTAATATTATTATTGTCTTTACGATTTTTGTGTTTTATCATTTAAAATGACAAATTTCTATGCGGAAGAGTATCAGTACCATCGATATTACGATGACGACAATAGTAGTGTGTTGTTGATAATAATTTTACATGTGAATGAATAGGCACTTCCAATACATGGTCCAATAGTTCATTGGTTTCAAGTTCCAATGATTTAAGCGGTGGTTCCAGAAGACCTTTAAAAAAACGAATCGTAACACATGGTTTTGTGTGGAAGTATTTTGAAAAAGTTTCAAATGGAAATAAATTCGTAATTTGCAAATTAATGTTAAAAAAAAAAAAGAACGAAATATTATTATATATATAAAAAAATTTAGTCGACTAAAGAAATTTTTGACAAACTAGTAGTCGACTAAGGATTTTTTGGACGATTCCAACCTCTAAAGAAATATTGTTCAATTTGCGATGCTTTAAAGATTTATGGGGGAGTTATGATGGTTTTGAAATGATGACTCCAAAAGTGCACATCTAAATTGCACATTCTCTGTGGTCTGATTTGCATCAAATAAGATTCCAAAGCTTTACCTTTTTTACATTCTTTTCTGATAATAGAGTTGCAGTTGTATTATTAGAAATAAAGGGACGCCGTAAATTACGCCAAATTACATACTAATACTAATACGTTCTATTCTCAATAAGTTGAACAGGTGATGTGGCTTATGTATGGTAGAAACAAGATTACTACTGAAATCACGTGGCACCACACTGAAAATTTTTGGCAACAATAATTATAATTGGTCAAAAAAATCAAACATGACAACTTATAATTAAAAGCAACGATGAAATATTTCTTATTAACATATTCATATTTCCAACAAAAATCGTTCATTCCATTTTTTTGTAACACACTGTATACCCAAACCAATGGTAACGGTAATATATAATAATTTGTTGACAGGCAAGGATCTCGACCAAATATAATTTCATCATCATCATCATCATCTCCTTGTCACATTTATATTCAATCGACAATATGGATTATATATGAATTGAATGGCGATAGTAATTTTTTTTTTCGTTATATCACAAGCATAAATTTTTGATTTATATCCGTTTTGTCAAGTAGATCCTTAGCAATGCCAAAATTTCTGTGTATTAAAGTCATTTGGGTTTAAATGGATATTCGGACACCTTCTCAAATTCTGGTATTCGGACGTCTGTTCAAATTTAGATATCGAGGTAATCGGATTGTTTTTGTGCAATCAGAGAATATGATAATAATTCCCCGCTGTTCCATTGAAAGATCGTCGATTAAATATTTGGAGTCGAAGCAGTAATTAACTCAACTTTTTGATATCATAGTTGGTTTTGTAAGTTTTATAGTGAACAACCCTGTTGAAAGTAAAAAAGATGGCTTCTCAATTAATTGCAGCCCCCATCTTTAGTTGAAAGCATCATTTTTTATTAAATTATTATTGCGAAAAACTTGTAAATACAAGGGGTTTGTTTATTTTACATTGATTGCCAATCCAATAAAACAAAGGTTTTTTGAATAATGCAATTAATTAAAATACACAGGAAAATTTTATCCAAATTTAGAAAGTATCTGCATAGACATCCAATTTAAAAATTCACTATATCGAGCAAACAAAGATAAAGAAAGCACTCATTCATTATTTATAATAGAGTCGTTAAATTACATTGTCAATATCCAAGTTTTGAACCCTGAAATCTTTATGCTCTATTTGGTTTTGTTACAGTATGCTCCACCCATGCACAATCAAAGTTCGTTACGTTACAGTGGAAATGGCTTTACAGTGAATGTTCCCAATAATAAATTTTGCTCGTTACAGTGAGTGAACTTCTTGATAAAACCCTTTTATTGAGTGTGTATACACAGTAATATTAATATTAAGAAATTTTCTACATGTGTATATTAATATATAGTATAACATTAACCCGCCTGAACGATCTGGACAACGGCCTTTCGCTTCTTGGCATCCAGACTTTTACAGTTTTAGATTTTCTGATACAAGTAGGACCAGTTTTTAATTTTAATGTTTTACCATACAAGATAAACAAACAAACACATCGAAACCAATAAGACAATCATATACATTGTACAATATATTTATTTGTTATTGTATACAATTTATATAAATTCACTCGATGTAGGCTCAACAACACTTTTTTTTTTAATAATTATTTGTCTATTTTTTCTCCCCTATCTCTCTTTAACCATCCCCTACCTACTTTCCAAGCATTTTTTAACAAACGGAATCTGGCATTTTGTTTATATTGATTTATTATTTATAAATAACATAATAACATATAATAGCTCTGGTAGCATTTCAAGATCTCTATTACATTTCTTCCAATATAAAAAATCTAAAAATGAAAATCATTACACTTTTCTCGGTAGCTCTTGCATTTTATTATGTTGTTGGTACATCGGCTCAAAAAAGTATTCAAGAACTGAATGCCGATGACGCTGAAGCATTACAAGAGAAATTCAAATCTTTTACCAAAAATACAAAATGCGTTGCTAATGATGAAGCTTGTATTGGCAAAGATTTTGCCCAATGCGTAACTACAGTAGAAAATGGTAAAAATGTTGATAAATTCGTCACCACTTCTTGTGGTAATTTGGAATGCGTTGTATTACCCTTGGTTTTGAAACGTGGCACATCCATTACTTGTGGTACGTGTATATTTACATGTTTATATACTGTATATACTGACTGTACTGTATATATATATACTTTTTAATTAATTGATCATACTTTTTTCTTCTCTTCCTATTGATTATAGCTACCAAACAGGAACAAAAAAGAAGATTGGACGAAGCTCGTAGTAGTAAAAAAACTGCCGGTAATAATCCATCCAAAAGATCACCTAAAAAATCAACGCCTAACGACATAACCAAAATTCGTAAATTGAATGCTGATGACGCTGATGCATTAGAAAAAAAATTCAAAACCTTCAAACCTGATCAAAAATGTTCACCAAATGAAACCGCTTGTATTAATGGTCAATTTGCTAAATGTACTGACACGGTTGTAGACGGTTCTGTAAAACCAAGATTCTCCTTACAATCTTGTGCAGCTGGCTTGAAATGTTTTGTATTACCTCTTGTTAATTCTCGCGGCACTTCTATCACTTGTGGTATGCATTCTTTTTTTATTTTATTTTATTTTATTTCATCAATTATTTATTCTATATATATTAACTATATTATATATATATTGATTGATTGATATTTCTAGATACTGAAGAAGATCGTGCAAACCGTTTCAAACAAGCACGTGGTCAGCAATAATATTTTAATTTGTATATATTTTAACTTGTATAAAATGTTTGGGGGTTAAATTTTAGTTTAAAAGGGGGTTTTTTTAAAAAAATTTATCCAAAAAAAAAATAAAATAAAATAAAATGTAAAAATTTTTGATTTTTATCAAAAAAAAAAAATCATATTTTATATCTTTTTCCTCTTCTCTCGCCTACAAAAAAATTATAATACATCATCGTGTCTACCAAAAACCGCCTTCTACAACTTTATAAAAGTTTTTCGTTCATGCCTCCAGTAATTGACAAGAAATATGATTATTTGGTTATTGGTGGCGGAAGTGGTGGTTTGGCTTCAGCAAGACGTGCTGGCCAATATGGTGCTAAAGTTGGTTTGATTGAGTCAAGTGGTAGGTTAGGCGGTACTTGTGTTAACGTCGGTTGTGTTCCTAAAAAAATCATGTTCAATACTGGTAAGTTGTTACTCTTTTCAACCAATAGAAATGAATTAATAATCTTTTATAACTGAAATAACTTGTATATATGTGTGTGTTTGTGTTGTGTGTGTTTGTTATGCTTGTGCTTAGCTATGATTGCTGAAGCATTACATGATGCAAAACAATACGGATTTGATTTAAATTCTGTTCCAAAATTTAATTGGAATTATCTTAAACAAAAGCGTGATGCTTATATTCAACGTCTCAATGGGATTTACGAGAGAAATCTTTTAAAAGATAATGTCGATTATATTCATGGAAAGGCTAGTTTTATAAGCAAAAATGTGGTTCGTGTGGTGAATCAAGGAAATGTTATGGAAGTTGAAGCTAAAAAAATTCTAATTGCTACAGGTAGAATGAATCTCTTCCTTATATCACAGCTTTGTTTGTTTGTTGTATAATTTACTAATAATACGTTTTTATATTTTTACATGCACACGCACGCATTTCTATTTAGGGGGGTATCCTCATGTTCCTGTTGATACAATCCCTGGAGCCGAACTTGGAATTACAAGTGATGGTTTCTTTAGTCTTGAAGAACAGCCAAATAAAGTTTTAGTAGTTGGAACAGGTTACATTGGTGTTGAATTAGCAGGTGTTTTCAATGCTTTAGGTAACATCTTATATGAAAAAAAAATGGGCTTTATTTTCAAATGTCATTCCTACAAATTTAATTTCATTAAATAACTTTTATATATAAATAGGCACAAATACTACATTAGTTACTCGTTCGGGTGAAATTTTAAGAACCTTTGATCCTATAATCAAAGATGTCCTTTTAGAACAAACAAAATCAGAGGGTATTCGTCTTTTAACTCATTCTCATGTCCACAGTGTATCACGCGACAATCCAGGTTCTTCCTTAAAAGTCAAACTTTCTTCAAAAGAAACAAACGAAACAACGGAAGAATTTGATGTAATATTATGGGCTATTGGCAGAAAACCACATATTGAGGGTCTTAATTTAGATCATATAGGAATAAAATTGAATGAAAAAGGTTATATTTACACAGATGAATATCAAAACACTGTAGTAGAAGACATATATGCTTTAGGTGATGTTTGTGGTGTTGCTCAATTGACTCCTGGTAAAAAAAAAATTTTTTTTTTTAAATTTTACTATTTTACATTGATTGTGACAAATAATAATTTTTCTTTAAAACAAAAACAGTTGCAATTGGAGCTGGTCGCCGTTTGTCAGATCGTTTATTTGGTCCTTCAAAATTTGCTAAGGCTAAACTTGACTACAACAATATTCCAACTGTTGTGTTTCACGGTACTTGTGGAGCAGTTGGTTTGACTGAACCAGAAGCAAGGAATAAATATGGAGAAGAGAATGTTAAAACTTATACTTCTAAGTTTGTAAATTTATATAATTCAATGACAAAACACAGTACGTTTTTTTTCCTAATTATTTTAAATGTTTGTTATTATTACCATCATTAATCATCATTTCCTTTTGTTTAATTTATCAAGAACCTGCAACAGCATATAAACTTGTGGTTGTCGGTGAAGAAGAAAAAGTTGTTGGTGTTCACATTGTGGGAAGAGACTCAGCAGAAATTGTATAAATTTTTTATTATTATCGTTGTTTTTCATTGTTATCACCATCATTCAATAACAATAATTTCTTAAAAATTAAAACAGCTGCAAGGTTTTTCTGTTGCTGTTAAAATGGGTGCCACAAAAGAAGATTTTGATAGTACTGTCGCAATTCATCCTACTGCAGCTGAAGAACTCGTGAGTTTTCATCTTTATATGCTCCATTTAATATTTCATATTTTTAATCATAATAACAATTCTAATTGATTAATACTATTTACAAATACTAGGTAACCATGAGATAAATTTTATTTGTTTATTTATTTATTTATTTAAATTGTAAGCCAAAATTTATATAAGCAGAACAATACAAACGAATAAAAAATGATTGTGGTATTAAATGAAACACAACCGCAATATCTGTAATTTATGGTTACATGTCAAAATCATTAGAATTTGTGAGCTTTATATATTGTTTTTGTAAACACCCACAAGAGGCTAGGCCTAACTTATTATTATCCTCGTAGTAAATGAATGATCTAGATGAGCAAAATGGGGTTATGTCCGAATCAACAACATCTTCCTGATTATCTAGTTGGTTAAATGGCACAAGCACCTGCCCACCAGCAGAATTCATCGACAAGATCTTTCTTGTATTCCGGGCTGCATTGACTAAATATATGTGGCGTAGAGAATGGAAAAGGGCCAAAAATGATTTTGAGTGGCAAACCCAACAAAGTGTACATCTGTATTACAATGGATCATAACACTATTAACAAATTTTATAATAATAATGTCCCGCCTATTATCTTTGTTTTTTCTTAATTTCCTACATTCGAATCATTCTTTTCTCGCTTTATTTTTAAGTTGGGCAGACTCGAGTTAAAACTTGAATTTTCAAGTTCGAGTTGAGTTCAAGAAAATAGGCTCTTAAATAATCATTGGCAAAAAATTTAGTTTATATATGAATTTGACACAGCTGTGGCAGTAACCCATCTATGAAGTTCAATGATTGTCATATTGCATCACTTATGAAATGTTATTGAGTAAACCTTACATTCAAAATAATCATTACCTTATATTAAAAAATTATAAAACCATCCATAGTTGCTAGCTGAAATTGCTTCTCTTAGTAAATGATTGTTGCCGAATTAAAAATGCCAAAATAGCTGGAATTAATTTTATTAGTGGCCAAAATTATATTTGAATTCTTTGGATTCCATAGCCAAAGTGCTGGATGGTTTTTTTATGCTCATTAATATAGGGAATATGGAAAAGCCAAAATGTTGCTGAAATATTTGGCAAAAGCAAAACCAATTTTGGCTAACAACTATGAAACCATCTCCAGATCACTAATCTTCAATTAAAAATCTTCAATAATAATTGTCAAATAGAATTTTATTTTGCTTAAAAAATAATAATAATAATGTTCCTGTTGATACAATCCCTGGAGCCGAACTTGGAATTACAAGTGATGGTTTCTTTAGTCTTGAAGAACAGCCAAATAAAGTTTTAGTAGTTGGAACTGGTTACATTGGTGTTGAATTAGCAGGTGTTTTCAATGCTTTAGGTAATATCTTATATGAAAAAAAAGTATTTTATTTTCAAATGTCATTCCTACAAATTCAATTGCATTAAATAACTTTTATATATAAATAGGCACAAATACTACATTGGTTACTCGTTCGGGTGAAATTTTAAGAACCTTTGATTCTATAATCAAAGATGTCCTTTTAGAACAAACAAAATCAGAGGGTATTCGTCTTTTAACTCATTCTCATGTCCACAGCGTATCACGTGACAATCCAGGTGCTCCCTTAAAAGTTAAACTTACTTCAAAAGAAACAAATGAAACAACAGAAGAATTTGATGTAATATTATGGGCCATTGGCAGAAAACCACACATTGAGGGTCTTAATTTAGACCATATAGGAATAAAATTGAATGAAAAAGGTTATATTTACACAGATGAATATCAAAACACTGTAACAGAGGACATATATGCTTTAGGCGATGTTTGTGGCGTTGCTCAATTGACTCCTGGTAAAAAAAATTTTTTTTTAAATTTTCATTATTTTATATTGATTGTGACAAATAACAGTTTTTCTTTAAAACAGTTGCAATTGGAGCTGGTCGCCGTTTGTCAGATCGTTTATTTGGTCCTTCAAAATTTGCTAAGGCTAAACTTGACTACAACAATATTCCAACTGTTGTGTTTCACGGTACTTGTGGAGCAGTTGGTTTGACTGAACCAGAAGCAAGGAATAAATATGGAGAAGAGAATGTTAAAACTTATACTTCTAAGTTTGTAAATTTATATAATTCAATGACAAAACACAGTACGTTTTTTTTCCTAATTATTTTAAATGTTTGTTATTATTACCATCATTAATCATCATTTCCTTTTGTTTAATTTATCAAGAACCTGCAACAGCATATAAACTTGTGGTTGTCGGTGAAGAAGAAAAAGTTGTTGGTGTTCACATTGTGGGAAGAGACTCAGCAGAAATTGTATAAATTTTTTATTATTATCGTTGTTTTTCATTGTTATCACCATCATTCAATAACAATAATTTCTTAAAAATTAAAACAGCTGCAAGGTTTTTCTGTTGCTGTTAAAATGGGTGCCACAAAAGAAGATTTTGATAGTACTGTCGCAATTCATCCTACTGCAGCTGAGGAACTTGTGAGTTTTCATCTTTATATGCTCTGTTTAATATTTCATATTTTTAATTATAATAACGATTCTAATTGATTAATACTATTTACAAATATTAGGTTACCATGAGATAAATTTTATTTATTTATATTTATTTATTTATTTAAATTATAAGCCAAAATTTATGTAAGCGGAACAATACCAACAAATAGAAATGATTGTGATATTAAATGAAACACAATCGCAATATCTGTAATTTATGGTTACGTGTCAAAATCATTAGAATTTGTGAGCTTTATATATTGTTTTTGTAAACACCCACAAAAGGCAAGGCCTAACTCATTATTATCCTCGTAGTAAATAAATGATCTAGATGAGCAAAATGGGGTTATGTCCGAATCAACAACATCTTCCTGATTATCTAGTTGGTTAAATGGCACAAGCACCTGCCCACCAGCAGAATTCATCGACAAGATCTTTCTTGTATTCTGGACTGCATTGACTAAATATATGGGGCGAGAGAATGGAAAAGGACCAAGAATGATTTTGAGTGACAAACCCAACACAATTTTATAATAATAATGTCCCGCCTATTATATTTTTTTTTTCTCAAGTTCCTACATTCGAATCATTCTTTTCTCGCTTTATTTTTTATTAATATAAATCTGAATCATCTGCACAAAAAAACTCCTTTTATTATTATTATTATTTTTTAAGCAAAATAAAATTCTATTTGACAATTATTATTGAAGATTTTTAATTGAAGATTAGTGATCTGGAGATGGTTTCATAGTTGTTAGCCAAAATTGGTTTTGCTTTTGCCAAATATTTCAGCAACATTTTGGCTTTTCCATATTCCCTATATTAATGAGCATAAAAAAACCATCCAGCACTTTGGCTATGGAATCCAAAGAATTCAAATATAATTTTGGCCACTAATAAAATTAATTCCAGCTATTTTGGCATTTTTAATTCGGCAACAATCATTTACTAAGAGAAGCAATTTCAGCTAGCAACTATGGATGGTTTTA